GTAAGGTGCCGCCGGTTTGCGCTGACATCGCCGCCGGGGAGCGGGCGAAAGGGATGAGGGCGGCGGGGTGAGAGGTGTTAGGTGCTTTGCTTGTGGAAGGGTCGTGGTTTCCTACCCGGGCTTGCTAGCTATGACAGGGGATGGAGACAGCTCCGGGCACCTTCTCAGACTTCGAGTTCAGGCTCTGCGACCTTGGTGCTGTCGCTGAAGCCGAGGCATCCTGAGGAGCCAGGGTTCTGCTTTGCACTTCCTTACCCAGAAGCTTCTGCTTCCTCTGCTGACCCAGCACAGCGGGTTCCAGGGCACCTGGGCAGCCTCCATCCCTCACTGTGCTGCATTCTGCAAAGAGAGGTCGGGAAGGTAGAAGGAATCCCTGAACTGGATGAAATGTCTTGCTCTGCTGGTGACTCACCGAGTGACCTTGGGTTAGCCACTTAATCTCAACTGCTGCAGTTATTGGGCTTCAGTGTGGCCCTGGTTTGTAAAGCACCGTGATAACTTCCAAGGAGAAATGCTAGATAAACAGGAGTTAGCTGGCTATTTTTTTCCCAAGTTCTGCTGAAACAGAGAGGAGGGTAGCCTGAATCTTCCAGAGACGTGAAACCTGTCTGTGCCAGACCATCAAATCACGGGCATTTCTCTATTATCTCAAAAATCTGAACTGAGGACCATTCCCTCTGTTGTGAAATGGGAGGAATTCTTGCCCAGACAGTAATGTTACAGTTACTTCTCACAGACATTTTGCAACGAGATTTGCTCAGCACCTGTGATCTGTGAAATAAAATGTGGACACTAAGTAGATGCTCTCCTTCCACCCCAGCCCAAGCTGATGGATGTAGGAAAGCCAGCACAGGAGTAGCAGGCCCCAGTGTTCTCTCCATGTTACATGTCATGGATGAGTGAGGAATGCAATCTCCAAAGCTCAAAGACTTAGGTCCCTGTTAACAATCTGGTGGCTGCTAAAAGCGAGAAGGAAAGTCACCAGCACAAGAAACCCTCAGCTCTGCTGCTCTGCCCAGCTCTGCACCATTGCTCCCCGGTGAGAGGATAGCCATGCAGAGCACTGGTACAGCAAGGGAACTTGCTCCATGTTACCCAGTTCTGCCTGTAAAACCTCATCAAAGTTTTGGTGATGTTTTAGGCTGAAGCTCCTTTCTACTATTAAAATTTCTAGGACCCAGTCTAACATGTTGTTTAACGCTACTTGTTTGAAGTCATACATACATGCAACAGTTTCTTTTCCAGGTTTTCAAATGGTAAAAAAGAAGTAGTAAAGTCTTTGCTGGGATGAGTGTCACTGCGAGTCACATAACTACAGCTGACTAGTTAAAATGGGTAAATAAATCAATTTAAAAATGTAATACAACTAGGTTTGGGTTTGTTTTTTTTTTTCTTCTGATTTTCATAGAGAAGTATGGTCTGGAGATAACCAACAATGGTCCCATCACAACAGGAGCTCAAGCCACTGTTCACGCCAGTCTAAGTATGAAGAATGACAGTGTCGCATCAAACTTGTATCACTTCAACTGGATTTATGCTCCCCTGATACTGATAGAGAAATCTGAGCAGCAGTTAAACTCTGTAATTAATGTGACTGGTGAATTTCCTGGGACTTTTCCTGTGTCTGTCTGGGTTACTCACAGAAACTGCTGGTTATGTCGGCCAGTTGCTAGAAATGTCACAGTGCTTCAGATCACAGGTAAAACGTCTTTACAACTTCTATGTCTTCAGGAATTCAGTATTCATCAGGATGCTTGCTTCCTTTGCTAGCATCAGAAATATGAAAACCAGGCATAAATATGGTTTCTGCCAACAGACTTTGATTTGTATACTCCTTTGATGGAAGGTGGTTTTGGATGGCATTGTGCTAACTGGGCTGTGCTGTAGTCTACCTACATCCAGGAAGCAAGAGTGATCCTGCCCATGTTTTCCTGCCTCTTTCACTCAGAGAAAAAGAACTAGAAACCAGATGCTTCAGTAGCTGCAACACATCAGTGTTGTTCGGTGATGTCCAGACTCCTGAAACAATGCTTCCTGTTCTGCTCCCCAGCATTTCTAAAGTTAGGATGACCAGCAGCAATGACAATCTACTGATTTTCCTCATTGCATGACACAGCAAAAACTTAGGCCATCAGTAGAACAGAGCCATTACATTTTCTTTTCAAGCTCTGAGTGTGCTGAAATTGGATTCAAAGTCATGGCTGCATTTCAAATAATTAATCAGCTTACTGGCAATATTTATAACTATAAATATGTATTTTTTGACAAACTGATCAATGATGTGATATGGTTAACCTAATCTCTGATACAGGATTGACATGAAATATCACTTGATAGCTTCCCACAGTCCCTTCTTTCAGAGACTAGTAACCACATTCCTCTAACCCCTTGTCCCAGTGCTCAACTTACCTACTCTAGAATAGACTCAGCTTCCAGCCAATGATAAGGACATGGAGGAAGACAAAAGAGATAACCATAGGGCATAGCCGACATTTTAGCTATTGAGATTTTAATTTGAGAAACCCCAAGCTTACTGAGTAAGTCTTTATAAAAGTATACATGAGATCTTTTCTCTGTTAAGAACTGCTGCCATATTGACTATCTACTGATTCCTTTCTTGCTTTGCATTGTCATATTCTCATGCCACAAGCAGAAGGGATAAAAGCTTTCCATAGCTGTAAAGGTAAGATCCCACTGCACCTTTCTGCCTTCCCAAGCAAGAGCACCTAGTAGAGGGCTTCGAAGGGGCCCAAAGGTAGTTGCCAATAACTCATAAAATTACAAGTCAAGTTAGTTCTGAATTACTGGCCCCATTCTGAAGCATTAGTTGTGATTCTTGTTAGCGCATCATCAAGAGAACTATTAACCAGATTTAATGAATTGTTACCAGGCTAAGAGTTTCTTATTGATAATTAATAGCCCATTAATTTTACAATGAGCTGATAAGTGTATCATGGTAAGACCTCTTTATTCATAAGTTAAAGTTTTTTTAGATCAGCCTTTTCCAGTCCTTGTAAACAAACATAGCATAGGATCTACCACAGACATCAAAATTTCTGCCTTTCTCTGTTCACAATATATAGCACATCTGTTATTCATAGTAGTAAAATTTTCCTTTCTGTTTTTTAGTTTTAGCTACTTCCACAAAAAACAGCAACATAAAAATCCTACAAAAGAAACAAACAAAACCTGGCACCCCAAACATGAAGGGTGGGTCTGTTGGTTTGATTCTGAATCCCTTGATCTAGATACTTGATATTAATCACAGTTCTTTTTAAATCCATAGTAAAAAATTTACATTAACTTCAGTCAGTTCAGGATTATTTCTCTTGGTTCTACTAGGAGCTTTATCATGGCCCATTGTGTTACCCTAAGCAAATAATTTAATCTCTCTGCCTCACTAACACATGTAACGACACTGAGTAATACATACAAAATACACTTAACCACTTGGACTAGGGCCTAGAAAGACTTATGCAGTACATTTTAAGTGATATTTTGATACTTACACAGAGCATGCTATGAAAGTGATATATGTTGTCATTCTTCCATCTTTTCATTCTGCAGAATTTATCACAGGGAATCTTACCATTGCCAAGATAGAACACAGTGGATTTATCACACATGGTTCTAGTTCTTCCACGGGTGCCGTGACCCGGGTTTCCTTCTGTCTTCATGACCCAAGTCATTACTTCAAGTCAGCATCATTTGTCTACAACTGGGATTTTGGAGATGGGTAGGTGTGGTGACTTTGTTTACTTTAAGGAGTATTCAAGATGGCTGTGATACAGATGCCCATCTAGGAAAAAAAATCCCAATTAAATCATAGGACTAAGCAGACGTCTTTGTCAGCTGGTACATTCTTAGCATGTCAACCAGATAAAGTATGAGAACTTTGGCACAGAAGTCTCTGCACACTCACAAAATGGTGATGTTTTAGAGACCTAAATTTCTTTCTCAAATATATGCTTAGGTATATTACTGTGTGTGAAATGAGCTGAACTGACCTGAATGAATTGGAAAGAGTAACTTACTGTAAATAGTCATATTAAAACATCGTTTTGTCTGCAGATCTTCATTAGCAGGTTGTTGTTGAATATGTGAATAATTTGTGCACTTAAGGAAAATGCAATAGTAGTAAAACCATAGGTAAAGCCACTTGGTAGCAGGGAGGATAAAGCACATTGAGTTATTTTAGTTCTCTGAGGACAAATATATGTCCAATACAAATAAGTTTATGCAAAGAGAAATATAAGATACAGTCTTTGAATACTACTTTTTTTCTTTCTTCTTTTTTCCTCCCCCTCCCACCTTAGTGCTTCAATTAGCTTATAGTCCACCTGCTGTAAAAGTAGTTGTCGTAATGTACTGACTATTCCTGTTCCATTTTGTGAATTCTTTTACCATTATCTTTAGTTTCTTTGATAAAAAATGCATAGATAAACTCTAGGTCTTATACTGGTAGTAGTTCTGGTGGTGGTGCCACTGACATAAATCCTTATTGATATGGACATAATGTAGAACTAGAATCATAGCAGACTGTTGCAGTTTCTTTAAAGAACATGTGTTAGAGCTTGTCCCTTTTAAATCAGACATATGCAATCAGTTGGTAAAAGGTGATTTTGTTTCTAAGTCTTTTAATGTTGCATATAGAGTTTATCAGATCACCAAGCAACCATTTGTCTACTATAACCACTCTACCATGGGGAATCGCACAGTGCATCTTAAAGTCATAGCTGAATGGGAGCAAATTGGAAGCATCATACATGAAAGAGAAACCGTCCAGAAAACTGGTGACTTCACTACTGCTCTGGAGCTGTTAGGTAATTCTGAAACATTTTGCTTAATCAGAAGTGCACTTGCTATATAGCTACAGATACAATCTAGCTTTAATGTGATAATACAACTTCAGCATTGTTTCACATCCAACAACTTGTCAATGTTATACAATTAAGTGCTTCCATTGCAAAATGGACTTTGTGCTGTTCTAGTATAGAAAAAAATGGGAGAAAATATATAAAATCTTATGTTTCTTTTTCATTTACCAGAAGTTTCACTGTCTTTTGTAACAGTCTCACATACATTTAAAACATCGATAAAATGCTTACTGTAACTTATGGTGGATTTGCTTGTTTAATTTATGCCAGCTATTTAACTATTATTAGCTAAATAAGCATTAGGAAAGTCTTGTTGATTTGATCAGGTTCAGGAGTAAACAAGCACATAACTAAAAATGTAAAGGGTTAATAAAGTAGTTGATTATATGTTTAGAAGAATTCACAAATTACTCAGAAAATTTAGAACAACTCTAGCACTAGGTTTCTTTTTTGGGTGTGAGGCAAGTATTATTTGTGTGGATGATAGAGCTAAAACCTGCAAAGTTTGTGAAAATAAACCTCCACTGGAAAACCAGGGAATTTCAAGTTTACATGTTGAATGTGACATGGTTTGGTTTCTTTTCTTCCTCAGATGCTGTTCAAAGTGTTAATATAGTGGGCTCTAGAGAGACTCACGTAATGGAAGACCTGAATTTATCTCTACATATCAATGGCACGTAAGTAGCAAAACCAACTTCTTTCTCTATTTTGTCTATTCAAGTCCCTTTTTGTCTATTTGTTTTTCCACACTGTTCCCTTAAAATAGTTGCACTCCAGAGAACTGTTTCTTAAAACAAAAAGGAAGACATTTCCTTTGAACAAAATGCTGTTGAATATTGGATTTTCCTGACTTGAAATACCATGAACTCTTTCAGAGCCTGAAAAAGCCTGCATCTTTACAGAAAAGTAGATCCTCCTACATAAAGCAAATGTCCCTCCACTCCCAGAGGGACAGGGAGGAGAATCAAAAGAATGCAACTCCCACAGGTTGAGACAAGAACAGTCCAGCAACCAAGGCACAACACAAAACCACTACTGCCACCCCAGTAACAATAATGATGAGGGAAATAGCAAGGGGAGAGAACACAATTGCCCACCACCTGCCGACCGATACCCAGCCCGACCTGAGCAGCGATCTGGGCCTTCCGGGTGACTCCTCCCAGTTTATATACTGGGCCTGAAGTGCTGTGGTATGGAATACCCCTTTGGCCAGTTTGGGTCAGGTGTCCTGTCTCTGCTTCCTCCCAGCTTCACCTCCTCCCTGGCAGAGCATGAGACTGAGAAAGTCCTTGGTCACAGTAAACATTACTGAGCAACAACTAAAAACATTGGTGTTATCAGCGTTGTTCCCAGGCTGAAAGTCAAAACCACAGCACTGCACCAGCTACTAAGAAGGAGAAAAATGACTGCCACAGCTGAACCCAGGACACCCCACCATTAAATAAACTGTATTCAGAGCCCTGCTGCACAGCAGTGATCCTTGATTGGCACACGGGCATAATGGGTCTGGGGAATAATTTTGGCAAAGTTGAGATTGCCACAAGATGAAATAAGACAGAGAGGCTCCATGCAGGGAGGATTATAGGAGAGCCATGAGCACCTCAATCCTAGCACAAGCTCTCTCAAGCTGTAGCATTTAGAACATATCAGAGGATTTTTACATGGCAGAAGCAATTTATATACCATTGAAACACTCAGGAAAACTCCTTCGCCATAAAAGCTCTGTGACCACAGAAGTTAGTTATACTCCAGAAGAAGCAGATGAGTGACACTTACTCCCAGTTCTCCTACTGGGAGCTGTTTAGGCTAATGCTGGATTTAAAAAACAAAAAAAAAAACAACAAAAAAACCCAAATAGAGCAGGGCTATTAGACGAGAGGTAGGATGGAGCAAGTAGCACACAACATGGAGTCATTTGCTAAAGGCATAAATAGCCCCAATAGACAAAGCAGCACAATTTGCATTCAAAAGTGAATGGCACATTAGCAGGAGTGGAAACTGAAGATGGCATACCAGTAAATAGAACAGCCAAAAACCACTACAGGAGAACGTGAGATCCTTAAAAGTAGACTTGGCTTTAAGATGGACAGTGTTTGAGAGACTTAAACTCCTGGCCACAGGACTAGGGCTGATGCAATAGGAGCTTATGATAGAGAAGCAATGATAAAGGTTTGCAAGGTGGGTTATCAAAAACAAAGCTAGAAAACGAGCTAAACAGACAAACACACTGCTTGCTTTAGCAGATAATGTCCTAAAGAGATAAGGAACAAAATACTAATAAGATGGGGTAAAGAAACGCTCTACCTTTGTCAGAATCAAAGTCCACAGAGCGTAATGTGAGACCAAGCAGAATCAGTTGGAACAAGGGTCTGAAAATGTAAATAAAAGGCATCAACTAGACATTGTGAGAAGATGCATGACCATGAAGTGGATTGCACCTAGATTACTTGGTAGCAAATAAGAACCTATTTGTTATTGTAAGGGAGTACTGTGATCCTTGTAATATATTTGCATCTATTAGTCCATTGTGCAGCACTCATCTTACATTCTTTCCGGTTTTGGTTGTGGGGATTTTATAATCAGAAAAGTCTTGGGTATGCTTCAGTAGCACAAACAGTGATTTCTTCTGTGTGAGAAGAACAAAGGAAAAACAACCTATACTCCCTTGGAAGTGCAGGAAAAAAAGATTCCTTTTATCTTTATCGGAGAAGGACTATGGGATTTTCTCCACAAAAGGCCTGTCTATGACCCACGCAGGTATCTATCTCTCATCTGAAAGGCTTGCTTTTATGGAAGCATTACAAAGAACTTTTTCAATTGACAAATGTTATAAACTGAAACATTGTGCATTAATACAAACTTCTCTATCTGTACTTAGATTAACTTCATTATTTTCACAATTATTATACTATTTTAACCAAGTGGTTCATCAGCTTTTAGCTGAAATTTTTGCAGAGTTTTCACTTAATTTATTTTTTCCTTTTTGCTCTTGTCCCATTTCAGCCCACCACTGGCGTTATGCTGGCTTATAAAGGCCGAGTGCATCCCACTGGAAGGGGAAAAATGCCATCTAGTGGTGATTAATGGCTCCTGCTACAATCTCAGCCATACCTTCAGTGATGCCGGACAGTACTGCCTCAGCGTCAGAGTGGAGAACGGCGTGACGATGCTGCAGACATACCATGAAATCAAAGTGTGGCCAACAGGTGAGGGGCATCTAATCAGAGCAGCTCAGAGATTCCCACCTGTCAGAGAACCAACAGTCTCAAACATGTCAACGACAGTTATGGATTAACCAGCCTGCAGATGAAGTTTCTGGAAACTGGTATAGATCCTTGAAAGCATAGGAAAGAGAAAGGAGAGCCTATAATGTGCCTACTGTAATTGCTCTGAGCTTCTTGCATCCTGCTGTACCATTAGCCTCAAGAGTATCTTGAAGCTAATGAGTTTCCTGGGAAGGCTGATTTACTTAAATTACATATTTTTTAATTTAAATAGTCTGTCTTTTGTAGTTAGAGAGGGTAACTAGAACACATATACGTTTGTAACACTCAGTTAAGCAGTCTTAATTCTTCTTTTTGTTCATTTTAGTTATGGATTTTTTAAAGGTTGATTTTTCTAGGCCTCCAGTTCAGTGCAAGTTTCTGTCCCTCCAGCCAGAAATGCCTGCTGGCTTCCCCATGCATGCTCACACATGCTCCCCTTGGGTCCCTGAATCATCTGAGAAAGGGGTTGTGTGGCCAAGTGAAGAGAACCAGAGGAAAACCAGGCTGTGGTGCAGAATGGATATGCCATCTCAGCATGGGCCAGCACTTGTATACAGACAGGGCAGCCAAGTCCAGAAGGCATTGATGAGCATTCAGGGCTAAGTATGCAAGTCCTCTTTGCTGGAGGCTGCTAGCTGCTGTGAAGATGATGTTCCTTCCTCATCAGGTACCACCAGAGGTACAAATACTCTGGAAAGTTAGGACAAATATATGTAAAAGGGTGGAGATTTTTAGGCTGCTCAAGGGAAAAGAGGGTAAAAAGGGATGGGAAAAACCAATCTACAATTCTGCATTCCCACTTCTGAGATCTCAGAAAGTGATCACCTGAAGTAATCTGGGCTGAAAAATTTATTCCTTGTTACACAGATGTAATTTGGGCTAAAAATATGAAAACTTCTCCTAAAACACAATTTCCTTCTCACTGGTGCCTCTTCTCAGTGTATTGTGTCACTTTGGGAATGTGCTCTTCTGCTCTTTCCTAGGGATCCACCGAGCTTTCTTTGTCCTGCTCTGCATTGTTCTGGTTTCAGTGGTGCTAGGGCTGGTGCTGTACACAACCTTCCGAAGTAACACACAACAGAAAGATCTCGTAGAGGTATTGTGTTACTCTTACTTTGAGCTGGGATAGTAATTAAAGACCTTTCAGCCATATCCCTTCTTTAATTCTCAGACTAACAGAGTGGGAGGGAGCATTTCCCTGGTGTGTCTGATCTATTCCATGGAAAAATCTGAACAGCGTAGGCAAACACTTGAAGCAACAGGCAGGCTTTCTGGCTTGTGGAGAACTATAATTCAAGTTGCCAGGCTATCATGTGCCAGTTCGTTAATATATCCGAGCAAGTGCTTGCATTGAGGTATCCCTTCCAGAGGATCTACCTTAGAGTGGTTACATGAAAGCAAGCAGGGGGATAGTGAGAGAGAATATAAGAGAGTAAAAAAGGGTAGGTATGTTACCTGAAGTGTCATTAAATTGTCATCTGACCCTAGCATGTGACCTCTATTTCTCCATCTCCCTTCCATCTCTGTTGTAGCTTTTACATGCTGCATTACTGTATTTGTAATAAGCATGAGCTCCTAAATCAAAAGTAGCTTTCATGGCCCATTGGAAAGTACCTAAAACACTTCATATCGTACCATGCTGTGAATAATATACCTCTAGAGAGACTTCCTATGAGACATGTGCAGCAGGTATAAATCAGAAGTCTGTCTGAAGTTGTGACTGGAACTGATTGACGACCAAGTGCTGTTTCTGGCCCAAAGTATTCTTGCTAGACTCACTCAAGCCAGTGGGGCCTGAATTAAAAATGATCTCTTTGATGTTCCTTTTCCAGGTAGCTGACTTCGACTTTTCTCCACTGTCTGATAAAAGCTTGTCTTCTCATTCGGAATCAGGCTGTGGCCAAATATGTTGCAGATCATGTTTACCTCGGTCATCACAAGAAGTTGCCAGGGAGAGCCATGAACTCCTACATTCTTTTTACAAGCCAGTCAAAACGTACACAGTGTGAAGAACACAACTGCACTTTGGTTACACTAACTACCAAGTTTAACTTCCTCACTTACAATGAGTTAAAAGCCCAGTGCTGCATGAGTGGCTTGGTTTTGCCAATGCAATGAGGTTAACCACTTTAAGCCCAGCACTTGAACTAAAGAGCAAGCCCTGAAACACAGTAAAATAGCTTTGTATTTTTAAATTATACGGGTGTGCACTTTTACAGCTGTAAATGCAGCATTTTATTCTTACGAAAGATTGTTTTATGTGCAGGTTTGCTAAATCACTACCTCTTGTAATTTCTCTGTTCCTTCTGCTGTCTGTTTCAAAGAAGAAAATGCTTAAGGCAAACTTACCTCTCTTTCCTACATTACAACAATATTACTGAAATGGAAGTCATCCAAAATGCTGTTACATGTTTTTGTTCTAAGGAACTGACTTGTCCAGGTTGAGAATGGCCTACGCACTTCCAACAAACCAGGCTACCTGTTATCTTTTTCCCTCTTGTCTTAAAAGACCTCTTTTTTTAAGTTTAATGGGCTTTCTGTGGGGCCATGGGACTGGTGACCTGCTCATGAAGGTGCTAGCAGTATTTCGGTGGGATGACAGCACATGCTGTAGAAGACTACACATCTCCACACTTTGTGAAGTGATGTACCACTCTATTCTGTATAAGCAGCTTTTTTTTTTCTCACCAAGGCTGTTCATTCTTCTTTCATGTATTATTACCCAGGTAGTCACCAAAGCTCCTTTCCCAAAAAAAATGCAGCAACCAGTAGCTCAAAGCTGCTCAGCAAAACGTATTCAATTCACATTTATACTCAATATCAAGGCTGTATATACTCCATGTATCTCCTACTATTAGTTTCCTGCTCAGCCAGGCTTTTCCCCCTGTTATGAGGCATTTTGGAGTGCCCTGGAGGCTTTTAAACAAAAATGCCTTTGTGGCCATTTATTTCTTTAAACATGACACACCTTCCCCACCTCTAATTTAAAGCCTGTGGGTATTTGTGGGCCTGGGGTTTTTCAAGTACGTCATAATTTCTCCAATGCACCGATTGGGAAGTAATTGCTGAATGTGAAGGGTTTTACCATGAGGTTTTTGGGGTGCTCATCTCACACATTCAACTTCTATGTTTCCTCAGAGAACCCCAGTGCTTCAGTTCCTCTGTGAAGAAATTACACAACATCAGAATGGCTTTGTTAATTAACTTGGTAAATTCAGAATGGAATAGGATCATCTAAGATAACAAATGATCCAGCAAAACAAAGGTTTTGTCAAAAAAGTACTTTTTGAAGGCAGAACTTTTGGCTTTTTTTTTATTTTCTAGAAAGAGTCTATAAGTAAGCTTGTTGATTAGGAGTGGTGTCTTTTGTATTGTCAGTGCTCTGATCTCAAGGTCTCAAACCCCTATCTCCAGTCATATTCAATCACTTAAGAATATGCCTCTCCTTAGCAAAGAAGCTATTGTTCTTGAGAGCTTCAGTTTTATTGCTTATTCCTGAGATCCCAGACATCTGAGCCATTGCCAAAGGTATGACTTGTTCAGGGATGTCAGTGTGTTCTGTAAACAGCTACATGGTCCTTGGGCACTGGAAATAACAGATTCCTGATGTGAAAAATGCGTCTTAGAGTGATGGTGGCCCTAGACAGACTGCACAGTAGCTCTCTGTAGCCAGAAGTTTAATTTGGGCTTCTTTCATTATGTTTGATAGACACATGTCCCTTGCTGCTATAAACACACCTAAAGACAACCCATTGGCACACAAATGTAAAAAGCCCTTTCTGCTGCATATTGCACTCCTAGAAAAAACAACAACTATGAGAACAGACTCAGCTATAGATGCATGAGGCCATTTGTGTCGGAGGAAGATTATATAAAAGGAGTTAGACCTATGCTCTACCTCATGCCCCATTAATACCCAGCTGGTTCAGAGGGTATCACAAGGTGTTAAGCCACAAACATTGTTTCTTTGGGTTTGTGCCTCCGTACTCTCTCTGGTACATGCAAGCTGAGATACAGCTGATTATACCAAACCTGGCTACAGTGGATATCAACCCCCAGTCAAAAAAAAAGAAAGAGGGACATGGAGTTAGTGAGATGAAGGACACGCCAAAGAAAATTCCCAATTTCCTATTGAGGAAATCAGAGCAAACATCCTTCAGAAGAATATTGTCTTTTATTCTCTTCCTAAAATGAACAAAGGCTGGCAAAGGAGTCAAATGATTTAGAAGGGCAGAAAAGACAAAGCATTACAAAATGGAAAGTCAACATTACCAAACAGTGGAAGATATTATTCAAGAACAGGTGGAAAAGAACAGAGGTTAGAAAGAGAAACAGAAAATGAGCAGTGGACAGTGGAGAAAGTACACTTAAAAGGGCATGTCAAGAAGCAAATTAACCGAGAAAATTTAAACAACCCTAACAAATTGAGGCATAAGAATGAGAAATAGTCACACGAACATGTTCCCAAATCCAATATGAAACTGCTTCCTGCACAAAAGACTGATCTGTGGGTTCAATAAGTGCCTCTGAAATTGAAGGCAAAAGGTAATTGAGCAGTTCAGGATATAGCAAGGAGATCAGTGGGACGTAACAAGGATCAGCAGGAGGATTCATTTTGTTAACCTTAGGAATCAATGACCTGGAAAAAGGAATGTTCAGCAAAACTATGAAACTCACTGATTCAAAATAGAGTCCAGTGAGTACAAAGCCAAAGAGTGATTAAATTCAGGTGATAAGCTGGAGTGTGAGCAGATAAAAAGTTTATGTAATGAGAATTATTTACAAGAAAATGCATTTGCGAACAAAAATGTTCTGGAAAGATGGTATGAAAACACACAGTAAAGCAAAAGAACTTCTGTTATTCCGTAATTTGTCCAATAAACAATGGTACCAGTTTGTGCAGTAGATGTAGGGGCAAATTAGCCATTTATCTTAACAGTAGAGCATAAGGCTCAGGGGCTGAGCTGGTCAAGGTTGAATTCTGTCTTTCATCTCTGGAGAGTAGATTACACAGCCCAAGCTATGACAACAGTGTGAATTTGCAAGACCTCGATTGCATTTACTGAATGCTGTAGGAATGGAAATTGCTTCAGCAAGAGGAAGGTGAAGAACTTCATATTTAAATGCTCAGCATTATTATTAGGTAATCAGCCAACACTTCACCTTGATTTTGGAGAGCAAGTGCCAGTTTCCGTGGAAACTGAAATCTATCCTGCAGCTGTCACAGGATTGTTTAAACCCTGCAGATCTCAGCTCTGACAGCACACCCAATGCTACCAACGTGGGGTTTTAAACTGCAGCCACCAACATGGGGAATGCACAAGTTCCAGAAACTTCTTTCAGAGCTGGGTATGCTCGTCCCCAGTGAGCGTAATTCCCACAGCAGTGTGCGTAAGGAGAGCAGTGGCTGCATGTAGTGGGTTTAGTACAAAACACCATAGTTGCACAACAACTGACACAACTACCAGAACAAACTATATTAGAGCACTAGTGAAAGACTACCCCAGCCAAACAGATTCCTAATGCATTTACTCAGTCATCCTGGGAGGGAGGGGAGTGATATTATTCACAGAAGGCAAAAGGGAGCCATGTAGAGGTACGGCGCTTGCTTGTGCAGAGGCGGGTGCAGATACCTCCATAAAAATCAAGATTAAAAAGAGTCAGGAACCATGCAGACCATCTACCCAATATTGGTTCTTTTTACAGCCTGTGGAGTGAGGTAAGCCCTACATTCAGGTTGTATTTTACAGACAGCAAACTTAACATCGCACAGGTGTAGCAAGGAGCCTGGGCACAGTACGGGCGGTGCGGAGTTGCCATTTGTGCATTGCACAGCAGGTGTCTCCCACTGCACAGGAATATTTCCACAGTCTCCACACTCCCACCATGGCAGGCATGAGCCACGGGTGAGACTTGGAGTGAGGATCTTTATGCACGCCTCGCTGTGGCATGTGAGCTAAATGCACAGCCAGCTGCGGTACAAGACACATACTATTCACAATATGAGTACTGCAGTTTTGGGTGCCACCCCGAGCAACTATGAGGAATGACTCAGTGTTGATCACTACACCCAGAAACGCTTGTCCCAGGTGGGGTGAGCCCTGCATCTCTCCCTGGGAAGCGATGGATGGACAGTGTGAGCAAGCTGTGCAGGTAATAACCCTCCTGGGAGAGAACTTTCTGCACGTTATTCAATGCACTTGACATGACAACACCCCATTCCACAGCCTCTCGCACCAGTGCTGCGTGATTAGAAACTGGTGTGGGACTAGGCCAATTTCCGTGAATGAAAGTACTGTCATTTTCCTTAAAGGAGAGTAACTGTGAAGTTTCAATCTACAATGATTTATCTTAAATTAAGGAAAATGAAGAAGAAAGCAGTGCACAATATAAACCATAGGTGAGTCTATACATTTCTTGAAATCACCTGGCAGTCCTATTGCTTCAGTGGAAGGCCTCAGAAACAGGGAAGCAGAAGAACAACAAGCGCATTCTGGTTTCATATTCTATAAGCTTAGTCCTTCCTGGTAATACAAATTAGGACTCTATCATTTGAGGCATCTTTTCTGCTACAATTTAGATACAAAATGACAACTGACCACAGCAGTTAAAGCTTTCTTATCTGATCAACAGCATGTACTTAAAAAATTCCGTGGAGTTTTTAATGTCTTTTCAGTTTCCTGTCCTTAAACTATTTTTCTTTCATTATATGCAAAGAACTTGTAATATTTTTGAATTAAATAAAAGAGGCAAAAATAATCTAAAAAATCCAACTGCATCTGCTAATTAAATAGCAACGTCCTTACTTTCATTAAGGTAATCTTGATAAATTACAGTCTTACCATACTAATTAACTTCAAGTTTAATGGATTTCTTTTGCCACCCCAAGCTATGTAACAAAACACAACATGCTCAATTTAACAAAACCAAGCCATTATTGATACTGGCCAGTTTGATTCTGCTTCAGCAAAGCCCCCAGACACATGCTGAAGCACAAACAGAGGAGCAGACATGGAGGAGCAGCTCCTTGGGACAGTGGAAGGGTCTGAAGGAAAGGTAAGCAGCCTTGCTTCAGTGGGGGAGCCCAATTCAGGAGCACATCAAGTGGCTTGCAGTGAGCCTCGGCACCTGGAGAGCTAATGGCTA